TCTACTGTACAAAATCAGCCGCTATTCCGGAAAAGCTATGCTGCTCCCGCTCGGGCATAAGTCCTTATTCCGGAACACTGTCCTGGAAAAGGGCCAGTGTAGACAGCCCAGTAGTCTTTTCTGGAAAAAAGCCCCGATAGCGAAAATGACGATCAGGGCTCTTTTCCGGAAAAGCGCGTCTACATTGGTCACAGATGCTTTTCCGGAAAAAGGGCTTTTCCGGAAAAGCAGCCTGCCAATGTAGACGCTCTTTTTCCGGAAATACTTATAACGAAAACTATTCTGTTTTAAGCATTTCCGGAAATTCATGCCAGTGTAGACACAGCCTCTGAGTATTCAGAGCGCAGGGTCTATAGTTATCAGCACACAAATCCAGGTGTGGGGCATTAGGATTCTCTCAAAGTCCATTTTATAAACAGTGGCTAAAGGGTGCTATGCTGCAACACTAAGGCAAAGCTGTCAGCAGTGCCCTCTGCTTTTGGTCACCTCCTTCTGGGTCCCTGTGTTTTTAGGCCCATGGCACTGCAGATTTTAGTGCCACTCAGTATTGGTGTGGCAGCAGGTGCCACCTTGTTAGGTTGCTAACTCAGCGGCCAGTCATCCAGTTTTGGTCTGTATGCAAATCTCCATAGTTGCAGGGTGTTTACATCTGCATTTTGGACTCAACCCATTCTGGTGGGAGGGGCTATTGGCAAATCTAGATTTCCAGTCCAGGGACGCTTGGATCTGGGTTTTGTTTCTGGTTCTGCTTTAGTCCAGCTGCGCAGGACATGAGTATTTGTGAGGCTTGAGGAGACTGGCAACCAGAGTTTTAGGAACCCTAAATCGAGTGCCCAAAATTAGAAGCTGGATCGTGGCCACTTAACAAATTTGGGGGTTGTTGGTATAAAGTTCCAGCTGCTATGAGCCAGAATGGCAACACAACCTGCTGCAGACAGCACGGAACGGCTGTGACCTTCCGTTGTGCCCTGAAGTCACCAACCTGCAATAAGCTTTACTTTGGCTGTGCTTGTCATTGAGGTCCTATCTTGTGTCCCAGCACAACTTTCATACAGCACCGATGAGACTGAATATTCAGGGCCTGCTTCTGTTCTCCCAGCAAGATGGCTGCAGAACCCTCACTTCAGCGGCATAAAGGCTGTGGAAACCTGGGTCCAATCACGGCCAACGTGTCAGCACAGCCCTTTGCTGGGGAGCGGTGCAGAGCTGCGCTGAATGCAGAAGGGAAGAGATTGCAACTCCTAAGTCGGGGGTGGGAAACGTTTTCTCGTTTGGGGACCACTGGCCCACAGAAAAATCAGTCAAGCAAAAACCCCCCCAAACAAACCCTCACTGACGTGCCCCTGACTGAGAAGGAGAAAGACCCTCCCCGCATTCCCCTCACACACCAGAGCCTGGGGGGCTCAGATTTTGTGTATTTCAGCCCCCCTGGGATGTACAAGGGGGCTGGAGAGCCAGCACAGGCTCCCCAATGCTGGGGGAGGGGACCCTGAGCCTTGAGGGCCAGATCCAGGCAAGCCGGGGTCTGAACCTGGCCCCTGGGTCTTCGCTTTCCCCACCCCTGTCCTAAGTAATGAGCTTGATGGACTCAAGAAAGGGGTAGCCTGCATCTGTAGGTAATCCCAGTCCAAGCTGCAGGAAGCCATGGCGCTCTGGCTTCTCCCTCTCCCCACCACATACTTTTTCTGGGGTGCTGTGCACCTTCAATGATCCCATGGAGGGAGCAGTCGCTGCCATCCTCCATACACCAGGGTCATACAAGGCCACATGCGCAGGAGTTAAAGGTATTGGCCCTTTGCTTTTTTTTTTAACCCTAATTTTCTTATCTATAAGATGAACAGATGTGTGTGGGACACTTTGAAAATCTTAGAATTCAGGTGCTGGGTGCAGCCGGTGGCTGTTGGTGCTAGGGCTGTGTGTGCAAGGCAGTGTAGTGTGGCCATGCTTAAACAATACTGAACTGCAACCAACAGGCCAGAAATGTGACCAGCGCAGGCTGTTAACCATTGGAACAACTTGCCCAGAGATGGGGTGAATTTTTCTATCCCTCATCCCATCCAGCCTGGGCTAGCTTTCTGAAAGAGTGGCCATAGCTTGAACAAAAGATGTGGGCTTGATGCAGAAATTCCCGGGTGAGGTTCTTTGTTTTGGGTTATGCAGGAGATCAGACTAGATGCTTGTAACGGCCCCACCAGGCCTTGAAATCTGTGAATGTACAAAACCTACTAAGTGCAGAATGCTGGACACTGTCCCTCACTGTGTCCTATATTGTGTTTGTGCCTTTTCCACCCGCCTCACGCACATCACGGCCCCCGCTGTAACAGGCATGTAATTCTCTCTTGCAGGCGTTTACCCTGTATGCATCTATTTCACCAAGTGTGTGTGGATCAGTGGCTAGCAACCAGCAAGAAGTGCCCGATTTGCAGAGTGGACATTGAAACACAACTTGGCTCGGACAGCTGAAAGAACCAATGTGACGCACCATTTTCCTTACCAGGTCATATGGCCATAAGCCCTTGCAGCAAAATTTTGCCTTCTGAGCCATTTGATTTAGAGGAAAAAGTCTGCAAGCACATTAGCGAAAAGGAGGAAAAGGTGGTTCAATATCTAGTGGTAGGAGAGGTCCTCACAGCCATATTGGTCTAATGCATGGGAGCTGGTATTCCCACAGCTAGAAGGCCCTGTGCTGCAGAAGATTTAGTATCGAACATGAAGGAACTAGTGTGTGGTTAGTCTGGCCTGTCAATCCTGAGTGTCACAAGGATTGTATATATACCTCTCGAATAAGTAGACACATGTTAGGGGGTCTTTAGCTATTTCTGTGGACAGCAACTGGAGCATGTTAGCTTAAGAAATGTTGTGTTTGGTGCCCTAGTCATCTTGTGGTGGACATGTCGCTGTTAACCTAATTTGCACCAAATATTTTTTTCATAGATTCCTTATTTTGGTGCCTGACTGAAATGTGGCGGAGGGGGACACAAAAGTTCAATCTTCCCACCTTTAGGGGAAAAAAATAGAGGTGAAAAAAGCAAATCCCTGTTTGCAGTTAGAAGGATCGTGCTCTTTGCCTCGTCTGTGTTGGTTTCTTTGATTATGTTTACAGTGTGTTACCAATTGGAGATGCCTAAAAATAATAATTGGAATGAAATGAACAAAATGGTAGAGAGAAGTTTTGTTCTTGCTTATCTGCTGGTGCTGGACATTTTATATAGGGCAGGATCCTAGGATTATATCTGCCACTATAGTTTAATGAGGAATCTTGGGGTGCAGTAGCGACGGAGGGCCACTCGGCATTTTAGTATTGTGATTTTTTCCTATCACCATCTCATCTTCTAGGGCAATTGCAAAGCCACTGTAATCTGTTGGGCCCTGATGCCCATGGGAACTGCAGGTTGTTCCGCATTTCTCCAAGACCAGGCCCAGACCCCCACCTCCAGAGGAGGATGGATCAGATGCTAACCTTACACCACACCTGTGGTGAAAGATCCATTGTCTGCCTGCTGGAGAAAGAGAACCTATTGAACGGGTCAGAGTCATTAGACCCTGCAGGTGTTCTTTGGAGGACTAATTGGCCTAGCAATACGCTTGCAATGTGATGAAAAATGCATTCTTCCATCTCTCCAAAACAAAAGCACCAACCATATTCTCTGCTAAATCAGGCATCCACTCCGGGGAAAATTGAACATGCCTTTCTTACAATTAAATTCCTAATCGCATGGTCTTCTTTGGCCAGCAGGCTAAAAAACTTCAAGTGACCTAATTAAACACCCCGGAGCTGTGCTGCCATCTAACCTCCTTTTCAGGCTCCCAGAGGGAAGGGAGAAAAAAGATTGATTCAAGGTGCATCCTGCGCTAAATTCCTTTCTCCTGTTCTTTCCTTTATGATTACACGAAATAGCAACTTTTCGCAGTAAGAATGAGAGGAGATTACAGCTCCGGGGGCATGCTGAAGGTTTTTTATAAAATCCACCTTTTTTTCTTCATCCCTAGCTGTGGAAAATCGCAGATCGTTGTTCTGATGACAAGAGGCAGGGGAGAATAACAGGCTAGTTTAGTCGTATTGCACATAAAAATTGCTGACAACATGAAAGTGTCAGTACAGGAAGGGAATTTAGATATATGGGATAATTTACTACTTGGCCTGAATTTTAAAATATAGAAGTGTACGTATATACAAGCACACAGCCATACCGATATATATATGGTATGATCGCTAAAATGAAACAGATGCTCATTTGGCAGGCTCAGTTATAATTATGAGAGAAATAAAGGTTAAAAGTAATCAGTGACGTGCCAAAATAATGGAGCTTTCTGAGCCACATTCCTTTTGTAATAAATATTTCAGATTATTTGCCATGAGAGACATTGAATTAAGTGCATGTTGACTCTTTACTCAGTCTTCTTTATCTGACAGCCCCCTGGAGGTTTGGAATCAACAGCCAATATTCTCCAGGCTTTTAATACATTTTTCATGTACTAGGAGAGCAAAAAAGTGGCTAGAGGATTTTTAATCAGACACACGTATTTAAAATGCTTATATGGAGGAGGATTTCTCATTCCCACGAGTGCCCATTTCATAGGCGTTAAGTAATGGTCTGTAAGTGAAGAGGAACATAAATTACACTTCCTAGGAGAGATCATAGAATTCCTGCGAGCTGTAATTGGAAAGTGCTGACCTCCCAGATGCCCATGATATATTTTCTTCCAGTCTGGAGTATAAAGTTAATGATAGGGCCAGGAGTGACTGCATCAGCATGCACATGGGAGATGCTCTCCAATTCACTGCAGTAATTTCTCCCAGGGTCGCCATCTCTTCAGCAGATCTGTCGTGCTAGGCACAGGTAAGTGGTGTGGGGAGGAGGGAAAGCTAATAACTTACAGTGGCAGGTGAAGAAGACGGGCCCTGTAAATATTTATTCAGAATCCCTGTTCTCGTCTAGTGTGCGTGTGATGAGAGCAGTGTTTGGGAGAGGAAAATATGTGTGTGTGTGGGGGGGGATTGGGGCAGGTAACCACCTTGCTAAACTCTGCTCTGAAAAATTCTAGCATGGTTTAACTTTGCCTCAGGATGACAGTAGGCACACGTGGTTGTTTCTCTTCTATTGGGTTGAACTGGATGGTGTGAGCCCTTAGACTAGAAGGACTGAGTACCTAGGGCAATAAACTGCCTGGGCCTCTCTCCAGCAGCAGCAGATTCGTATGTCATTAAAAAATAATATGAAGGAGCAAAACAAGATGTTGCTCTTTAGATGCACTGTAACCCATGCTGTCCATCATGCGTTCTAGCCTGGTCCTGCCAGAGCTCAGCATGTCCAGGGAGGGGCTGAGGATCCTCTAATGGAGTGAATGGGAATTGTGGCTATTCAGCACCTTGCAGAAGGTGCTCAGAACCTTCCAAGACTAGGGTCTTGCTTGGAATGAACCATTCAGTGAGAAGGAAAAGGAGCCATTCAGGCCCATGCTTGGAATGAACTGTTCAGCGGGGAGGAAATGAGCTCTTCCAACCCGTGTTTTACGTCTATGCGAAAGTATTATTATTTGCCTAATGAACAAGCACAGTTTTTAAAAAGGTGAAGAAAGCACCAAACTTCCATGGTCCGTGTGAGTGAGTGATACAGTGGCACGCGAGCGCTTGTAACGTCTGAAATTTGCATTTGGTGTGTCCGGCTCCCTCGTCTTTAAATAGCTTGTATGAGTAGAATGAGCTACTAGAGTGATTTTTTCAAAACAAAACAAATCTCTAGAAACAAAACATAGTTTACAGGGTTTTGTGAGTTTAAATGCCTTATATTTAACAATCATAATTTATGACTAACTTGTAGATATTGTGGGTTCTTATTTAATTATTTTTATAGTTGTTTTTGCATTTTTAATTATAATTTATTTATTTAGAAATTAATACTAATTTTTTTTATTACTCCTATTACCTCATTTTTGCATTGTTTCTGGGAATGGAATGCTTTGCATGCATCGGTACTTAAAAAGATATTAAACCTGGGGGGGGAGGGGGAGGGAGGGAAAGCTTATCATGTCAAAAGAAAAATCAGGGTGTGTGATTACAAACTGTATTACTGTGGTGCTGTTTGTTACCTTGGATACATTCCATAAAAATGCAAACCTTTGATTCTGTATGCTGTGACCTAGTGGAAAACTGCAATATAGTGACTGTGTTTAGCACATATATATAAATATTATTTGCACTCATAATCAAACTATGGTGATCCTTTCACTCATGCCCGTCAGCACTGGAGGAAAACAGCACTCCTCAGAGCCAAAGAATTCACAAGCCCCATGGAGGGTCTTCAATGGGAGTTCTTTGCTCAGAGAGCTGGCAGGACCAGGACCATTGTAACACAATATAGACACAGAAGGTGAAAGCAAATTAGCTCAGTGCAGGTGATTCCCTTTAGCCAATGAGCCCCGACAGGCCGTATTCCTCTTGGTTATGCCGTGGTCACCGGCGATTGCCAACTGTAGCTCCACAGGTGGCAGCGCAGATTCCAATGTTTCCTCCTGTACATAGAAGAGGCAGTCGGTCCTACAGCCCTTACGCAGCTGTTTGCATGAGAGAGGCGGCAGGGCAGAGGTGTGGCTGCTAGGTCTCGGATGCCACGGTGCAGGAGCTGCTATGTTCTTATTTGTGTTACGGTACCGCCTGAAGTCCCCTGCATTGAAACGGGTCTTGTGCTAGGCATTGTACATGCACATAGTGAAAGGGAGACCCTGCTCCAAATTTCTTACCATCTAAATGGACACGACCAGCGGCGCTGACAGCCTCCGTGGCCCTTGGGCAAGGTGGGGGGAAGCCAGGCTCCGCACTCCCAGAAGGGGCGGGGCCTTGGGTGGAAGGAGAAGAGCCAGGGGCAGCCAGCCTGGAGCATTTCCCAGCTTGGAGCAAGGCACCCTTTCCAGGCCCTTAGCGTTGCCCAGAGCACGTGGTGTGGTGCTCCAGTTCTGATTTAAAGGAGCCAGGGCTTGCTGCAGTAGCAGCGGTGGTGGCAGCAGCAAGACCTGGGCCTCTTTGAATTGCTGGACCTCCTGGCTACTGTTTCCCCTCCCCCCCCCCATTGGCAACTGTCCCCCTCCATCGGCAAGCCTGGACACGACCGACAAAGGGAAACAGGCTCACAGATCTATTTTTTCCTCTGTCTTCGATCGCAGGCTGGCCTCCCGTGTTCCCCTTTAATCGAAATTTTCATGGGCTTTCTCCTTCCCACGGTGTCTCTTGTCTGGCGTCCATTTGCACGTGTGAAGAGGTTGTCCATTTGAAGAGGTTGTTTGTTCAGTATACGACCTATCTGGCCAACTAAGCATTTCAATGAGGCTGGGTTAAAACATAGGGCCTGCCCTTCGTGCTGGTCAAACTGTGCTTTTAAGTGTACAGCCCGACCTGGCGACTGGTCCCATGTGTGGAAGGCCCTTGAAGACCGGAAGCTCGTCAGGGAAGTGGAAAGCGATTGGGCCCTAGAACCGCACAGCGACACAGGCAGACCCCCTCCGCATTTCCATTATGGAGGTGCTGAGTCCAAGTTTGGGTGGAATTTGAATGCTGGTTAATGAAGGGCACTTTTTGGACAGATCACTCCATTGTTGTGCTGCCAGTGGGGGGGAAGTTGCTGTTGCTCTGAAGCCCCGTAGTGGAAGGTGCAAGTGCACACATCACAGACACTGGCCTCATAAACAACCGTGCGTCCAGCGAAGGATATGCACTAAGTAACTCCCCCTCCCCTGTAATTTTATTGTCTCCCCTTTTTCAATTCCAGAGGGGTATCCGTGTTAGTCTGTAACTAAAAAAAAACTCAAAAAACCCAACAATGGTCCTGTAGCACCTTAGAGACTAACCAAAAAAATATAGATAGTATCACGAGCTTTTATGGGCACAACCCACTTCTTCAGTCATCTCTGTATTTTTTGGTTGGTCTCTAAGGTGCTACAGGTATTTTTTAAGAGAAGTGGTTGAGACTTTGACCGCTTAGGCCAGACTCTAGGGTGTAACTTTTCACAAGGCTGAGGACACCTGCACAATTTGCATCCTCATTTGCATACACAGTAAAATAGCTGGGTGCAAGGCCTCCGCATAGTACTCAAGAGGTCATTGCAACCATGCAAGTACACATTTTTCAGGTGTAGATGGAAAATCTCTGTCTAGAAAACATGGCCCCAGATGTTTGATTTAATTGGTGCACTCAGAGTAGAGTGGAAGCCACTTAAAAATTGCCAATTATTTCACTAGCTGTCTCCTGTTGTATGTAGAGCTATGGCAACTGCTGGCAAATGTTGCTGTTTTAACGACAACCACTGTATAACCTACCCCGGTTTGCTAGCTACATTACAGAAATAATGGTCTGGCATCATTCCACTTGAAATCTTTACTCCTTAGGAGTAACTCAGTGTAATCAATGCAAATGATGTTTGGTTGAAATTTGTCATGCAGGCATTTTGCTAAGCAGGGGGACACACGTAGGTGTCTTGTGAATTAGAGAAGTCAGTCGATATACATAAAGATGATAATTCTAGCTGACTGTTGGTTTTCTGTGCAACTGATGAGTTTAATTATTTTTTAATCGTAGAATCCTGCCGGGGACTTACATAGACCGGTTCATCACCAGTACAATTTCCAAATAAAAAGACCACCTTGCACCCCAAAACTTCACTGCAGTTAGAAAAAAGGGGATTCATGAACCTGAACCACTGAGTTGTTTAGCATCATTTGTATTTTGCGTGCATGCAGACACACTGTGTGACAGACCCATCACCATACGCTATCGTGGCCCTGAGGGCTCTGTTGAGCAAGATGTTTCTACCCTTGAGCTGCTGTTCCACTCCCTAAACTGCAGATTAGCAAAAATTTCATCCCATTCCTAGCTGCCATTCGCAGGTGTCAAATCAAACAGTGTAGCCCCCTCACCCCCAACCCACCACTTCCTTTTCCAGGTGAAGGTGCCAGGTGAAGGAGCTGTGCTGCTCTTCCAGACAGTGCAGGGCATATTCCAGTAGGGGGCATCGCAGCAGCAGCAGCAAGGCCAGTAAATCGCTTACCATAGCAGGGCAAAGAGGAGCACTTTTAAACAGGCCTGGTCTGTAACAAGCAAACAAGTGGCTAAGGAGGCTGAAGCACTCGCTGTGACATGTTAAGCTTGGGCCATAGCTGCTATGTCCATGATTCGCGGTTCAACGACACGAGACTCTCTGTGAGAAAATAATTGAGAAATTATCCCTGCTGTGAGCTAATTTTCCCCATAGGTTATTTCAACCTGACTTTATTTCGGGCAGGAGACCGCCAAACGGCAACTATTTTAATCACCGTCTTTTGGTCCCTTAAAGGTGCTGCTTAGCTTGCTTTGTCATTGTGATTTAAACATGTCCACCACCACCTCGCACGTTCTTTAACATGCACATGCCATCAGGTGGATCTGTTTTTGTGTTTCCTACAGGCCTTGTCGGAATATAACAGGGATAACTAGCACAATGAGTGGACAAAAAAACACACACATACAAAAATTACCTCCTTTAATGGCTTGGGCAAGTGAAAGGATTTTCCACATTTTTTTTGTACTCCTACTGCTGTTCTGTTGTGCTGTGCAACATTTTGCTACATAGACTATTTTATAGAAGAAAGCTAGACAAAATATTTATTATTAATATTAAAGCAATAGTGCATTGAAGAAAAGAAGAGACATTAGAAATTGTGTAAATGCTTAGATTCACTTTTGGTGGATTTTTGTACTTTATTTATAACTAATAAAATGAATTGCATTGCTAACTACATCCTAGGCCTACGTGGAAGTTGTTTATTTCTGGTAGGTTTCTTTCGTTTGTGACTCATTCACTCTCCTGCTTTTGTATCTTTACTTTTCTCACCTATTGTATTTCAGACTTGCACCCCCTGTTAAACAACTGGGGTGCGTCTAGACTGGCAAGATTTTGCGCAAAAGCGACTGCTTTTGTGCAAAAACTTGCCAGCTGTCCACACTGGCTGCTTGAATTTGCGCAAGAGCA